TGAAAACAATTTATCTTGATAAAGCTATAATAATTTTCAACTAGACAATGTGAATAAAGTAAGAGCAACTCGAAATTAAACAAAATGAAAAACGTTCGTTCTGAAAAAAAATAATTTTGCCCGCGAAATGAGAATTTCGCAAATCTCAAGTCTCACTTTGAAGATCTCGCGATTATTCATCTTAGCTGCTCGCTCGCTTCCTTTTCTTCCTCAATTACCCAACTTTTGGAGGTAATTAAAGATCTCCGTTGTCCGAATCTCTTGATGAAGTACTCGAGGAAGAGAGGCAAGGACTCGGTAGCGTCGCGAAAAAAAAAACAATCGCCGCATCCATCATCCGTCGACCGCAATTCATCATACTCGTCGTACTGCAAACGTCATACCGATAGTTAATGACAAAAAAATCACTGTCTCGCGAAAATCGATTCGTCCGTCCGTTGCAACTTCTTCGGCAATATCAAGAGCGCGCCGACAAAAAGCTGTCGAGGCAAAGAAACGCAATTAGTCGACGCGACGCGGACGCATCAAAATTGCTTCGCCCGCATTTCTGCCGCTTAGATCCGACGACGTGGAGAAATAAAAGAAACAGGAAAGACAGAAAAACAAGAATGTAAGAAATCTCTCAACAATTTTATTAACCCTGTCACGTAAAGCTTTCATCAAAGAAAAAATATTTTAAGAACACGTCGTCTCGTTCTCTCGCGTTCCAAATATTTACTCTTGTCTGTGTCGTCGATCGTAAAGGAAAAGAAAACGGAAGAGCAGAAACATGAGGATGTACTAAAAGGACAGTAATTGTCTTTTATAAGTCTATTGATAAAGAAGAGAGAAAGAATTTTAAACGACAAATTCTTACATTCTTTTGCAAGTTTCGGTCCGAACGATCCATTTATCTGCTATACGTCCATAATGTTAAATTCCTTCGTTCTCGATCGTGAAAGTGAACGCAATTAAAATGCATTGCGATACGAGCGGGCAAGTATTTTAGAATGTTAAGTAGTCACGCACTCTCTCTCTCGCTTGTACCACGAAGTGCAATTTAACCCACGATGTGAAACCCTTCATTGCACATCCTTTATTGCGAGTAGAACATCCCATACCACCTTTCACTATCATCCTTCCGCATATCCCTCTTCTGTATGTGTCTACACCATAAGCTCGGTTATCTAAACCCTATCTCCCCAAACTGTTCCCTTCATCCCCATTTCCATCACATTAAATCCCTTCTTAACGTCAAAAGATCAACACCAATTTTTCAATCAACATCTCCGTCCTCACTATCGATTCTCGCAAACTAATGAATTTAAAATTGCAAAGTTTTGAATGATTACGCTTGAAACAAAGACTGTAATAATATGTTGCAAAAAGATATGTTGCGCTATTTACACACATAACCGTCTCTTTCACATGACCTGAGAACAATAGCTGCACTTCTTGCAGTTAGATTACAATTCAATGCTTTGCCGTATTTAAGACCGAAAAATAAAAAAAAATTAAATCAAAATTGGCATAAGAACCACAGTAGTTGGAACGAAGAAGCAACACTTCCTTAATTTTTCCTTTAATTTTTGTTTATTTATTTGAGCCAAATTCCTCTTTATTAATTTTGAAAAATAAAAGTAAAACGGAATTTTTTTATCTTTTTTGACAAATTCAGATGAGTTTAAAATCATTTTCGCGCTATCGATTTATCTGTATAACTAAAACAATAATGTCGAAGTAATAAGTAGAAACACGTAAAAGTATCATAGCGATATACCTTTTAGTAAAGCAATTTCCGATATGCGATCATATTGAACTAACTCTCTCTCGATTCCATGCCAGGATTTGCGACGGTGTCATCTCCTTCTCCGTCAAAGTCAATAAAGAAGCAAGTATGGCGCATTATTCCTATGGGTATTCTTTAACGTTCGCACCAGTTTCCCGGCAGAATTATGAACACTTTGGCTTTCTTATATCTACCGAAAGTACATATATACCTTATCAGATCGAGTATAGAAACTTTAAACGTCTGATGTCACGTAAATACAAAGAAAGGGTCAAGAAACGTCAACTGTACCCTATTCGATGGATCGCTCCAGCCATTTGTACCAGTCGATTCGTTTCTAAGCTTTGAGGGATTTTCCGCGACTTTTATCACTGCCTAAAAAAATGTCTCCCCCTTTGTGAAAGACTTATGTTCCCGACTGTTCTTTTTATCAACTCGCGAGGAAACGTTCACAAACCATCGGACTTCTATCGGACCTTCATTCTCTTTTATACGTCAGTTACTTTGAAACGAACGTAATCTGGAAGAGTGCCATGAAATCATCTATTTTTTTCGAATATTCGGATATGTGATACGTATTTACAAAGCAATAAATTATATGATAAAATTTTCAAAAATGTTACATATTTATTACATATTTTTCTTATCATTATTATAGCGTTAATAACTATGTATCTATCTTTGAAAAAATAATACGTTAAAATTAATTTGTTTGAGCTTTATTTGTGTATTTAGCGCAAGATACATTTCATGAAAAGAAATGGCGGTAATTGAGCAGACGGGAGAGAAATTTTCTAGACGTTAAAAGAACTAATAATAAATAAATAATAATTGTAATAAAAATGTTACCGTACAAATGCTGTTAATTCTCCCCGCGAAACACCGAGAGTAAATCGGCGAGATAAATGCGAGATGGGTGAATCACACGTAACGATTACGCGTCGTGCAAGATAACGCAATTTTTAGAGAAAAAAGATTGCGCGACGTGCTTCGACTTGCAACGTAGATTTTTTGAAATTCCGTCTTCGTCTGGAACATTTCCGTGAGAGATTAATGTAGCAGTCTACGTCTCAAAGGATCTTTAGCAAAGTTCGCCAAGATCAGATGGGTGCGGTATCCCGCCTTTAATTAATTCCATCCGCAACATCTTCGCGCGAAACCTAATTGAAATGTTATTTTGTAACAGGTGCGAAGTATCCGCGAAGTTTCCGGAAAATGTAGTTAAATTATCGTTTCAGAAATTTATCGATAGACTTTTAGTAACATTTAACTGCGTGAAGTCTCGGAAAAGGAAATTTAGCGTGCAGCAAATGAAATTATTTTTGAGACGCGTCGCTGATTTTTTCGATCAAATAGCGAAATCGACACCATCTAACGTATGATTTTTTGCGCTCGCTAATTCCACGGCGATTGAATTTAATCTCGAGATCTCAACTTTTCCTCGGAAGGAACAATTATTAGATTCAAGTGAGAAAAGTGGGTCGTAGTAAATTACATTACTCGAGCTTTTGTAGCTGTGCAATTTCGCAGATCGATAAAGGACAGGAGGGAAAAATAAATGGGTTCGCTGCTAGTCTCTATTACGTTTTCCAATCATCATTATTATAGCTAGATGTAACGTAAATAAAATTCTATTTTTAAAAATAAGTGACTTCCTAAAATATTTTTTCAACAATATTGTTCACACATTTTCTGTCAAAATATAGCTGTACGTGATTTATAACAGCACGAAAGATTTACTGTCGCGAGGGCCGCGCGGCTCGTCAGATTTTTCGAGGCAATTTGGGACGATAGCGTTCTTCGGAACCGCGACCACCGTTACATCGAAATTGTTTGCCGGCTTTAATCTCGCCCCGCAGCAGTGACAAAGTATCGTCCGCAAAGTGCACCGTTACTCGAATCACACCGGGGATGCGTCTGTCGGACGTATTTTACGGTAATACCACTGCAGCGAGCGATCGCCCAAGCCAATGGTTAGACACTTACGTTACATTAAAGCCGCCGCCGGCTTTAATCTTGCTGCAAGTCGCTCGAATAGCATCGCATAGAGAAGACAATGTGGAAACTAATAGCGTACAGAAATTATTCCCTGCGAGGCAAACTTGCGCGTCGAGCATTAAATTTGACACGATGGTAATATACGGCAAATTTTGAAACTGCAAACCGAACAAATCTAGAACAGTCAAACTGTAAAGAAAGCACAGCAGAAATACAATGTAGTGTCTGTAAAAAATCTTTTTATAAATGAAAAATTCGATTATGAGTTCCGCGAAATTCCAGCCGATGTCAATTTTCTTTAACTCGGAAATAGAAGAAATTAAACTTCGTAAGAAAAGATAGCGTCGCAAATTCGCGATATCTTCAAAATCGGAATACAATAGTGACTCTAACAAAGTGGAAGGGGTGAGGGGGAGGGGGAGGGAGGGGAGATTGTCAAAGTTACGAGAGCCAATTTCTCTTCTGGGTCGAGACAGGAATTTCATCGACCTATTTCCCGAACTAGCTCAGCACATAGAAAGCTCCCGGCAATTTACAGGCAGCCATCAACGATTTTAAGAAACGAAAAGTTGCGGCTGATCGGACACACCTCGTTAGCGTTAGGCGCATAGCTGCTATTAGCTCCGGATTCACGAGTGAACCCGAATCCAGTGCTCTAGACTAATTTATTTCTTTGTGCGCGTGTTCTTTTTACTCTGCAACGTGGTGCACATATATATATATACATAGATATTGATATATTACATATATGTATTTGAAGGCGATATATATATATACATATTTTGCTGATCTAGTTGCTGCTCTAGAGTGTCCTGTTGTTGCGGACCACCACAGTCGACGCTCCGTTTTTTGATATTCCTTGACAGTTTTAGATCTCTTGTGCTCCTTCTGCGCTTCTGCGAACACCAAGTGCATCTCAAGACATGCACTAAAAGTTCATTTCTGAATTATTATTGTTCGTAATTAAGCAGTTAATCGCGAGCGTGCAGTTGTAGGTACTGACGTCGCTGTGACTGATGTATATTGATATATTCGTTAAATTTATTTTGAAGATTTCAAAGAGTATATTTCGAGAAATTATCATTTTTCTTATTTAAATATTTTTTGCAAGTACTTTACGATTGCACGCTCGCACGAGAAAGATGAATTACGTGGGCATGGCGTTCGAACGTTACAATGACGTCAAGCTTTCCACACACGCGAGCTTAATGCCAGCCGCTTTTCTGTCACATAGGTCGATCTAAGACACATGGACGAAAAAATCGGAAGCAACGTGGTGGACGTGGGAGTTGATCTATCCGAATTCTACATGTCGGTAGAATGGGATATTTTAGAAGTGCCTGCAGTGCGGTAAGTGTGTCACTTTTGTGTATTGCTTTTTTCAAATCTTCAAATAGACGGAATATGTTGGTAAAATACTAACAAGACACAAAATTGTTTGTGCTCAATTTTAGTATAATACATAACTCCTTCCTACTCTTTTTTTTCTTTATGATTATATACAAGGTGTCAAGGCAATCTCCAAAAAAGCTCTTGTAGCTTATCTCGAGAGCTTTTCAAAACACTATAATAAAGTATTTTTTCATTGAATTATGAGGCTTGAAATAATTTCTTAATTTTTACTATAAAATATATATCTAATAAAATATTTATTTTTCGATTATCTTACCTTAATACTTTTATGTACAAAATAATGAGAGGAATAAATTGATGTAAAGAAAACACATTATTTCGAAAAAAAATATGTAATTGTTAATTGTAAATTACATATTTTTTCTTCGAAACAATTATGTGTTTTTTTTATTGATTAATTGATTCCTCTCATTATTTTATACATAAAAGTATTAAGGTAAGATAATTAAAGAATAAATATTTTACTAGATATTTTATGGTTTATATAAAATTAAAAGATTATTTCAAACTTCATAACTTGAAAAATACTCAATGAAAAATACTTTATTATAGTGTTTTGAAAAGCTCTCGAGATAAGCTACAAGAGCTTTTTTTGGGAAGAGATTGCCCTGACACCCTGTATAACGGATTCTTCCTTATATGGATATTTTATAAAGACATATGAATTTAAAAGAAGAAAAAAATTTTTTTATAAGTTGCACGCGTAGTTATGATTTATCTTACTGCGAAAATGTTAAAGTTTGAATAATGATACGGGGCTTACCGTAAATTTATCTATTTTATTCGAATAAAAATCTCGATCTAATCTTTGAGATTTTCAAGCATCGGAGAGTATTGGAATCTTAAAGTGCCTAGCAAAGAGGCTTTTCTCTCTCTTTTCTTATGAAACACTCCTTCGCATTCAATATGCTCGTCTGGTATAAGCGAGTGGGCTGCTTCCGGGCACGTTTCGATCTCTGATATTCAACGTACTGTGATGCAGACGGGAACCGGGTTTAGCTTCCGGAAGCTACCGTAGAGTGGATGTTTTCGCAGTGGCTTGAAGCGACTTACCACGAGATGTTCACGATATTTCGAAATATCGATACTTTAGCGTTTGAATACTTTCGATATCGATATTGTATTTTTGATATTATCCACGTATCGATATTCTCATTCAATTTAAACGTCCCTATTTGTGTCATGCTCCCGAGAGTGGAATCTTCGCGAGAAATCCTGATCGATCGACTATATAAATCTAATCGCAATATTGACATTTTGACACTCAAGAGCGAGAAATATTATTAATGGTATATTTTCGTCTATTATATAAAAAGTAATAAAATTTGAATCAAAAATTCCAGAAATTGTTTAACTCTCTTGCGACTTTTATATATCTTTCTTTAATTTAGTGAAAACTTTGTTGAACGTTTGAAAAATAAAAAAAAAGTACTTCAAATTTATTCACGAGACAACACGTTACCGATTCCGGTTTGAGAATATCGTAAAAAAGGGGGATAGTAAAAATGCAGGCGAGGGGGAGAGCAGTCGAGCCGAGTTACCGACTTATAGGGATCGCTTCTCGGCAAAGTTATACGACCCCGCGAAACTTTCCTCATAAGTCTCGCTCACATAGCCGACCTCACTTACTTAAAATGTACTTATTGTTGGGTACAAACACTTCGCCCAATGGCGAAAATTTTACGTTTCTGCGGGCGATTTTTTATTTTTCTTTTTACTTCATATCACCATAATCCCTTCCACTTTTTTGCACCCTCATCCTTTTACTCGTTCATCGATCCGGCGATTAAACGCGATTTTTTTTTCTTTTCTTCTCGTAGGAACGAGAAGTTTTACACCTGCTGCGACGAGCCCTACTTGGACATCACGTTCAACATCACGATGAGAAGGAAGACTCTCTTTTACACGGTGAACATTATCATTCCCTGTATGGGAATATCATTCCTCACAGTTCTTACGTTTTATCTGCCTAGCGACAGCGGTGAAAAGGTGAGTGCGTAAAATATTAATATTTGCTGTCATAATTTTATGAATAACCAATATTTTTAAATTAAATTTATTATTTATTTTATATGATTAATTTATCGGGGATGGATAATTTTTTTTATGAACAGTTAACTGTCCTTTTTCATTTCATATTTTTTTCCAATATTTCTTAAAATATTTATATTAAAAATATTAATGCGTATAATATTTTTTAAATTATTTTTCGCAGTCTTTAATTTTAATTTCATTTCAAATATAAGTGTTTTTAAGAATTCCTTAAAAAAAGTATTTAGGTCAATTATTTCTTATTTTTGCACACATATATCTAATACGTTCAGAAATATATGACGCACAAATAAATACATCTCACGATCAGAGAAAGAAAGAAAGAGAACCACGATTAATCCTTTTATTCTCGGAAGCGACCACGGGGCGGACGTGCGTGAAATATGCGGCGAATTAGTTCTCTTCCGCGTGTCTGTCGGCCTCGTTATTTTCTCTTATCTGTAGGCGAGAGCTAGTAGGTGGTTGGTTACTTTTGGCTCGACGGCGCCAGCGATTTTTCATTTCCACCTCGGCTTCTCTTCGAGGTCGACTTTCCGTTACCGACTCCCACAGTTCTCGTTCGCCTAAGGAAAGATCCTTTTCCACGCTGTCAATATGTAACACGCACCACCGAGAAGATAAACGTCTTCCATACCACGTGGTATTGAATATTCGGATATATATTTTTTTAATATTTTGAGATAGTTTTATGTGTGTTAGGGTTGCACAAGACTTAAAACAATATTCATAAAAATAATGTATTGAAAATTTTCAGAAATTTAAATCTTATCTTAATCTTGAGTGAAGAATCTTGATCTTAATCTCATCTTTACAACAAAAATCATATTTTATATTGTTTTGTCTTGATTTTTGTCTAACAATTTTTATCTAATACTGGACAATTGCTTAAGATAATATTTTTAATAATATAATTTTTATAATATTTAAGAGAATTATTACTCTATTTGTGTCATTCGTATTTACTTTTCAAAATACAATATATATATATATATATATATATATATATATATATATTTCTATTTATTGTTTTTACGAAAAGGCAATTGTATACAGTGATGCTAGAATGCAAAAGTGGCTTGTATGTACACAATCAGTAAATCACATACATGTGCTGCATACAAAGCTTTATGTAGTTAAATAATTGTGTAAAATTTTATATTGTTTACTATATTAATTATTTCTAAATTTGTTAATATAAACATTTTTATTTATTAAATGAAATTTTTTAAGTTTGTATAATATAGTGATTATTTTTTTTTCAACTAGTTCATAAATAATTTCTTTTTCATCTAATTTACATATTTAAAATTTTTTTTAATCCAATAATGACAAGACTAATAATCTTGATAATCTCAGTATTGTCTATTGTCTATTATTGATAAATAATTAAAAATCTCGTTTCAAAGTTCAAGACAAGACAAGATAGTATCAAGATTAATCTTATGTTAATCTTATGTCATCTTGTGCAACCCTAGTGCATGTACATTTCTTCAACATTATTTGCATATCTTTGAATATCTTTAAATATTCTATGAACAACTCATTGATATTATTAAATGTCTCCCTAAAATTTTTCATTTTCTTCGGCTATGATTCTGTGTTATACAGATATATTCTTAAATATTTCTTGGATTTTATTATTCTCTAAATATCGAAACATTATCAAATATCTGTGTGAATATTCTTGGGAATATTCTCTCTTGGATATTTTTCTATTTCTTTATATCTATCTGTACGCATAGAATCTTACGCATTTTCTCCCTCGGGCGGATGATATTTTTGAGAAGACTTTATCCCACCAGAGAACGACGCTCGCAGCTGACGTTCTTCCCGAAGCAGTCTTCGCGCGGAGCTATCGACGCTAGCATTGCATAAAAGCTTTCCCCACGTGCTTTTTTCCCATTAACGTCCTCGGCACGTCGCGACTTGCCACAAAGGTTACTCGTTATGTGAACTAGCATTGTAAAATGTTTTTTCTTTTCCATTCCCCGTTGGTCGCCTTCTTCGTCTCTTCGAGCTCGCACACTCGAGTTATTTCTCTCTTCTTTTTTTTTGTTCCCTCTTTTTCTATCTTTCGCGCTGAAATAACACGGCTATTAGTCGTGCTTGCGAACGGTTGAAGAACTATCGACCGCGCGTGCAATTAGCATTCGTCATTATAAAGAAACGAGCGCCAGTCGATTGCGTCTCGAAGTACCGCAGGAAAAAGGTAATAGGAATGTTTGCGCACACGACACAGCGTATTTGCCGCCTCTCATTAATCTCTTCAACGTCCCTGTTAACTGAGAAAAAATATCAATTAGAGCGTAGCTATCGTGAAAAATTTTCAGATAATTTTTGCGTAAGTCAATTTTTACTAATAATTATTAATAGAATGATTGGAAGAATCTTACACATGTAATACGTACCGTACATTTCAAATTCTATGGCTTTTCCAATGTTTATTTGTCGAATAAATCGTTTTACTCTCTGATCGTATCAAGAATATTTATATACGAATATCCATTTATATAGAATATTCAGTTGCAGCGTTCGTTTACATTGCGTCAGTTCCAATTGTTCTGCTCAAAATGGGGAAAAATACAACCCTTTTATTCGATATATTCGGCGTTTCTCTGAAAAGCGGGGTGATTCGACAGGAAAGCACAGACTCAATCGTTCATTCTATCTTTAACGGTTTATTGATCTTGTTTTCGAGAAACAACCAGCGAGAAGGAAACATCCATTACATATATATGTATATATCCCTGCATCCACCGTTTTGAAGCAAAAATATAAGCACGTTATATGTTTTGCTCGTGTACACTCATATATGTTTACGATAAAATTTGTGGAAAATATTACGCATCATATGTAACTTACACACTCTCTCTCTCTCTCTCTCTCTCTCTCTCTCTCTCTCTCTCTCTGCTATGTTTGATCATTTAATCAAATCTCCCACATCACATTGAAAAGATGAGATTTCGGGCGAATTTAATTCATGTAGTTTTACGAGATAACATTGTAACGTTCGAAAACTTTATCATGCGTATGATTCTTATTTCTAAACTTTGTCAAGCGTGCAATTTTTAGCGATATCTTTGAAGATGCGTACTTTGAAGAAACGTGCTACGAATGCGAGCGTCCAACGAGAAAGTGGCACGAGGAATTTTGCGAGCGACTTTTCACGGAAGCGTCTCTCGTTTGAATGGCTGTCGAGTTGAGAGCTGCTATCGCTATTCGCGCTCTGGAATACGGATCTTCCGTCATGGTTCATGCCGGAAAAATGCAAGAAAGTTATGCGGACCGTGTCAAGTGAGTCGCGAATATCACAGGGGAATATACTAGACACTCGAGTAAAAAATTTAGTATTTATTTATGTATTATGACACAGTTGTCTCTATCAAAAATTTAAAAATTAAAAATTTTTCCGAGTTTTAAGAGTATAAATAAATAATAAAACTTTTTTTATTTAATTCTAAATAAATTGAAACACGATTCGAATCGATAATATTAAATATACTTAAATATACTTAAATATACTTTGCTGGAAATTGATTTTGAATATTAATATTGCCCGGACATAAATTTAAAAATGATCAGAATTGTGACGAGTAATTATCAGTATCTCATATGTATGAAAGTTTCAAGTTAAAGATATATTATCTGCAAATACGTTATTTCTTATGGAAGTAAAACAAACCGCATGTGTGGAGAATCTCTTGCAATATTATATGAGGACGACCTTTATTACAATGGTTACATATGCCTGGAAAGTACCGCAACCCTAAGCTCAAAGTTGTAAGCCAGCTTTATACTTGGACGCTTTTCTTGCGAGTTTGCGAGCGTCATGTTGTCCTTAATAATAGTTTGTTCTTCTTGCTAAGTAACATTGAAATATTCGGGGCGAGCGCAACTGACGTGCCTCTCACTTAAAGTCTCGCGGCCAATGAGAATGCATCGTTTTATAAAATTTATAAAGAGATGTAAATGTGATTTGGAGCGCGAAAAAACTCCAAACATTCTGCGTATAAAAACAAAAGAATTTTTTAAAATAATAACATGTAACACAGCTTTTGAAAAGCAGTAAAGAAGAAGAAAAATAAGCTTAGTGGCAATTTTTTCGAAAAAAAATATAAAGCTGCGAGCGCGCGTCTATCGCAGCTTCTAGGCACGTCAATCAAGCAGAGAGAATCGATAAGCAATATCGCGGTTCGGTGATTGACCCGCAGCGACTACGTCTACCGAAATTGCACATACCACGTGCATTCCCCGCATTACCTTTTATAACGTGCCTCATAACTCTATGCGTCGTTTTAATCCAATTCTAAATCTACTTTTTTATTATCATTATTTATTAAAGATTTATGCGGTTTGAGTTTTTGCGAAATTATTTAATCAGAAAGAAATTTATTATTTATTATAGTACTCTGTTATTTTAAAAAGAATAAAATAATTAAAATTTTATGCCTCGGTAAAATAATTGAATCGATGCTATAAAAAAAGCTAATCTACAAAATTAAAATAGATTAAAATATATAGCTGAATTTTATATAAAACAATGTATAGAAATTTATGCATAGAATTTTATATAGAACAATGTATAAAATTGTATTGAACATTATTTGAAAAAATGTTTCGCATAGTTTACATTCTAATTTAAAAATTATTGTACATGAGATTAATTACCTACGAAAACTGATATATAAAAGATATCTCTGTTAGTCATTTTTCTGTTTATTATGACTGTTTTGTGATAATCTCATTATCAATCATCGCAATCGAAATAAATGCAAAATTATTAAGAAGTTTATTATTAAAAAAATTTTTATTCAGATCGACGCGCGTAATTTAAGATATCTCATAAAGATATTTCTCAAAGGTTATTATTATTTGACTGATGCGATACGAAGGAAATCGGGTATAACGCGTGAGGAAAATTGATGACGGATACCCCA